TCAGATGAGATGGATGCGAAGATGAATACAACAAGTAACTATGTGAATCTGTAGGTTTGTGATGCACACTAACTAGTACATAAACCGTTGCCTTCAATTGAAGCTTTGATGTCTGAAAAGGATAAAGAATTGTCGGAAATTTCCCAGGTAGATTGACTGCGGTCATAAATTGAGTTAGTTCCTCTCTAGTAGAGGAGTAGCGCTGATACAGTCGTCAATGTAGCGACCGTAGAGTTCAGGTTTGGGGCCATTTTATTGGCTGAGAAATTGATGTTCGACAAAACCTACAAAAAGATTGGCATAACTGGGATAAATGGCATAACTGGGTCCCATTTTGGGACCCATGGCTACTCCATTAGTTTCTTTGAAAAAGTTGCCCTCGAATGAAAAACAGTTGAGTGTGAGTACTAGTTCAGCTAAGCGAAGTAGTGTTTCAGATTTAGGTTCCTTAACAGTACGTTGATCAAAAAAATGTTTAAGGGCCAGAAGACCTTCGCCATTAGGAATGACCGAAAAAAGAGATGTATTGTCCATAATGAAAAATGACTTTTGAATTAATAAACTGAAATATCAATATTACATACGCCATTAATGGCTTTGAAGAAAAATACTACATCCTTAATTTCTTAATCTCCCATTAACGACCAAAGATAATTTCTCTTTACAATAACAATACAATATTAGGCAGACAAGTGATGAGAATAAAGAAAAATATCAACAGGGGATTATTAATTGATCCGAAAGCAAATTCCCCAAACTAATGTCATAAGACAGACATTGAGGACAAATCACTTTTGTATGGGTTTGATGAAAATTGCGATGAAACAAACTTTATCGATATATAATTTTACTGTCAGCAGAATCAATACCTATCAGCCATTTGAACAGTACAAAGGCATATGAAAATTTCTGCATAACTTGGTGTTTACAACGTTTGATGTTTTAAGATGTAATAATGAGAATTTGGTCACTTACGACGGTACGAAATCCATAAAAAACCTATTTCATTTGATTGTTAAGTAAGAATTGCGCTTTTCATTAGAGTGCTATTTTATTTGATTGTTAGGTTAGTGTTGCGCACTCCATTATAATCCTATCTCATTTGATTGTTTGGGTATTGTTTTGAATCGGAATGTGAGGCACAAATCAAACACCGCCATGACGTCGAATTTATTTCAATCTGTTTGGTGCGAAATCTTGTTTCGGAGTATGCAATTATTTTTCGTCGGAACAGTTACAATCTGGGCACCTGAGAGTGAATAACAAGTCTTTCGGCTTTCACTATTATAACGTTATGTTTGTTATTCCGGAACTGCCTGAGACTGCCTTTACTCAACGATAGCTCTCATTCACCAAATATATCATACACAAAATTCGCAAGAAAGATTCACGTTCATTTCGTTAATCGACGATGTACTTTGGCTGTCAATAACATTCAAGTTGTCTCTATCTTTGTTCGAATTTTTCTCCCTGTTCATTTCTTCATTTGTTTCCTTCGAGACTTTCCAGGTCTCGTGTTCTTTCTCTTCTTTCCCTTCACAAAACAAAGAAATTTACGCTTTTAGTTCAACGAAAATTTAAATGTTCATATTGTTAAGTCATTGCAAGCTCGGTGATCTCAGATTCCTGGAGTTTATGCCAGTTTTCGTGGCAAATACACTATATTGTTATTCTGGAACTATACACTATATTGTTATTCTGGAACTGCCTGAGACTGCCTTTACTCAACGATAGCTCTCATTCACCAAATATATCATACACAAAATTCGCAAGAAAGATTNTTCTCTTCTTTCCCTTCACAAAACAAAGAAATTTACGCTTTTAGTTCAACGAAAATTTAAATGTTCATATTGTTAAGTCATTGCAAGCTCGGTGATCTCAGATTCCTGGAGTTTATGCCAGTTTTCGTGGCAAATACACTATATTGTTATTCTGGAACTATACACTATATTGTTATTCTGGAACTGCCTGAGACTGCCTTTACTCAACGATAGCTCTCATTCACCAAATATATCATACACAAAATTCGCAAGAAAGATTCACGTTCATTTCGTTAATCGACGATGTACTTTGGCTGTCAATAACATTCAAGTTGTCTCTATCTTTGTTCGAATTTTTCTCCCTGTTCATTTCTTCATTTGTTTCCTTCGAGACTTTCCAGGTCTCGTGTTCTTTCTCTTCTTTCCCTTCACAAAACAAAGAAATTTACGCTTTTAGTTCAACGAAAATTTAAATGTTCATATTGTTAAGTCATTGCAAGCTCGGTGATCTCAGATTCCTGGAGTTTATGCCAGTTTTCGTGGCAAATACACTATATTGTTATTCTGGAACTATACACTATATTGTTATTCTGGAACTGCCTGAGACTGCCTTTACTCAACGATAGCTCTCATTCACCAAATATATCATACACAAAATTCGCAAGAAAGATTCACGTTCATTTCGTTTTCTGCCTGCATACTAGTCCACGGCAAGTTTCCCCAGCACACACACTCAAGTTTTAACATTTAAAACAATGCGGTCGAAGCAGAATTCCCGCAAACACTCTACGCATTCGCGCCAAAAAGCCCCCACCTTGGTTTTTGATACCGGAACAAAATAACGAACGACTTAGTTTGTTAATTTGGGTAACCTTCTCAGGATAAAAGGCACCCTTCCCTTGGACAGTCGCAATGTCTTCGCATCGTCATTGTTCAAAGTTGCTTTACGTCTGTGTTGATACACTGAATATAACGAAAGACACTGTGCCACTATTTTTGAACCGTTATCCCTTACCGCATTTCCAGCCTTTGCTCTTGGCGCTTTGCTGTGTTTTGACGAGTTGAACGAGCTCACATCTGAAAAACTTTGCTTCGAATTTCTCTTCAATCCTTTCTTTACTCCTCCAAAACCGTATTTCGAATCCTGATTATACAAGAAACAAGACAGCAGAAGGATTTATGGATGGATTTAATGATAAGAGCTAGATGAATCAGTTGCTATTAAAACTTTAAACCAAAGTTCATTGTTCAAATAATTAAATTCACACCTTTCTTTTTCTCTTCGCATTCTTTCCTCTGTTGGTAAAATTGAAAATAAACATTTAAGATTGCAACAACACATATTTTGAACGAAAAATTGTCAGTCTTTGCCAATAAGATTCATAAAATTTTAAAATTGGGACTTAAGCTTTCAAAAATAAAACTGAGATCAGGGTGTCTATTGGAACAAAGAAAAGGAAAGAAAATTAAAATAATTTATAGATTATCCGTAGAATGTAGCCAGCTGTTCATCCATTGTTTTCCAAGACTCCATGAGTCCAGTCCATGTTACAAAGGACAAAGTAAAGTGCTCCCGCTGGTGCCAGATTTGATGTATCTTTCCCAACAAAGATAGTGCTGTGGTCAGAGAGCTCCCCTCTGGGAAATATGGGCAGGGTTACAGTCCTGGCTTTGGTGTCTCGAAGGGTTCTTCTCTACTGCCTCTGCTCTGCTTGATTGTAGCTAAAGCATTGTAACATGCCATGTCATTAACTTCAAACAATGAAAAGAAATAAAACAAGAAAATTACCGTTTAACAACTTTGCCTTTGTTTATGGTTGATGACTCTCTCTCTGTTTGTATTTGAAATTCATCAGCACCTCCTGTTGATGATTTTGCACCAACTGGAGTATTCTTGCCACCTAAGAAGTTTAATAAATATAATTTCTTTCATTTATAAGTCAGCAAGTAGTGGAACCTCCACTTCAAATAGAATTTGAAAGAAAAATAACTTTAATTCTGAAGTCCAAATTAGTAAAGCCTCTTTGTGTGACCATACGGATAACACCTCAGCTAGAGAATGCCACTAATTTCTGTCAAGCTGTCCTTACATCCAGCCTCTATCTCCTGCATTTCCCTTTCTACAGTTCTTCTCCAAGTTTCATTGGGGTGGCTGTCAGGAGTCCATTGCAAGGTGGCATTCTGTGCACATTCGTACTGCCAATCAAGTCACAATGATAAAAATGTGATGATGATGATGATGATGATAACTTACACCCTTTAACTCCCAAAACTGATTAGTAGCAACCTCTCCCTATAATATCCACAAACTAGTCTGCAAACAGGTATTGAGAATGCTCAAACTTATTGAGCAGAAGTTGTTATCTTTATCTACTCACAAATTCTTGTCACTAATTGACAATGAAATGTGTAGCAGCTAGAGGGGAAGTAAAAGGATTATCTCACGTTTTTTGTAGTTTTTCACAGCTTCCATCATCTCTCTCTTTTCCTTCTGCCTCTTTTGTAAAACCTCTTGTTGGACCTATTAAGAAAAAACCATTTGTTTTTCCCTCTTTAAGCATTAATAAATACATTGCATTCACTTAACATATTTTAAAACCTTTTTTCACCTCCAATACCCAGGATATTTTGTGGGAGATGCACTTGCCTAATGATTAATGTGTTGAACTCCTTGTCCAAAGGTCTGGGTCCAAGACCTGGTCAGGGCATTGCACAGTTTTCCTGGGCAAGACACATACCCCGCACATATGTATGTATGTACGAATATTTACACAGGGTAGCCCAGTTCAGCAACTTAGCTGGTTTAAATGGGGCCCTGTGTAACACCCACCCATCCCACCCCAGGGGAGGACATCCATCACACAGTAATCTCGTGCATGCGTGAGAAATTAACTTCTCCTATCCCTAACCCTGCAGGAGATGGGGCCTATGGTTCATTCGTCCTTATCCAATAAGACTAAAATATCTATCCATTTCTTGGTATTATAGAAAGGTAGCAAATTCTCCTCAGTTATTTTAAGACCATGTGTATTGGTCCAGCTGGGGCTCGAACCCTCGACCTCCCACACAACACAATCTGGCGCTCTAACCAATTGAGCTAACCAGGAGGCGGTTACACCAGTAACTCATAGAATTCTCTTTTCCAATCAGGCCCCAGTTGTTAGAAGGGCATATAATGCTGTCCACTAGATAAATCTTGATACAGTCGATAATGCTGTCAACCCCTATCTGCTGAATAGTGATTTAATCATCAAATAATAATATCTCCCCTTAGAACAACTGGGCCCAGGGGCCTATTTCTCAAAAGCCCCACTAACTTAGTGGGCCTGAAGATATGTTTTGAAGTCAAAGTTAAAGGATAGAAGAGTAGGTTCTGGTACCCAAACCACTCCATTTTGTTTATTATCGAGTAGTATTATTTCATTAATTTGAAAACTTTTGAAATTCCCATCTTAATTGAAAACAGAACTGCTTTACAGGCCCATTAAGTTACCAGGACTTTTGAGAAATGGGTCCCAGGAGTATTAATGGCTATCAGCCAACTATCAGGGACATCTGATGAAATACTGGGAGGGAGGGGACTGGGAGGGAGGGGACTGGGAAGGAGGGGTCTGGGAGGGAGGGGACTGGGAGGGAGGGGAAGAAGAGGAGTTGGGGAAGTAAGAAGTGTAACAATCAAACTCTACTAGTGACCAGCATCTAATCTCTCCATACAGAGAAACTGCTAAGTCATTCATTAAGATCATAAGAATGAAAGAAATTATTGCCCACCTACAGAGCTTAGATTATTAAATGTATTCTCCTTGTCAGTACCAAAGGAGAAATAAAGAGAAGAGTAGAGTGAATATGGATACTATCTTCACAGTAATGATCACTAATTAAGCAGTGGTGAAAATAAGACCTGAAAAAAAAAATTCAGGCCTGTACAGGATTTAAACCCATGACCTCTGTGAAACCAGTGCAGTGCTCTACCAACTGAGCTAATAAGCTAACTGGGAGCTGGTCATTGTGTTGGTTCTAATAAACCTGCGAAGTGATGAGTTGACATTTGTGAATATATTAAATCATATATTTGAACTGTGGTTAAAGGGATCCTCCACTGTTTTCGAAAATGTTGCTTAAGATGCTCTTTTAGTGTCCAAAAGTAGATTTTTCAGACAGAGAAATGTTCTCTCCCCTTAGATTTTTTGTTTTGGCCTCTCAAAAGAGCCCTTCCTGACCAGTTCAAATGTCCCACAATTGCCATTTTGATTGGCGGGCAAGGCTCTCTGGGGTGATGACGTAAATCCGTTGCTCGATTCCCTTGCAGTTGGTAAAATTGGTAGCAAAATGCTGCATTGCGTTGCTTTTGAGTGAAGTATTCAAGCTAAAAACAGGAAAAACCATCCCAAAATTCATTTCCACAATTTTCCGAATGATGAAGCAATTGGACGAGCTTGGATTCATGCAGTTGGAAGGACATCCTTGCCCAAAGACTCTCGTCTGTTTTCGAAGCACTTCGAACAGCATTGCCTTGAAGAGTCTTACCCCTTTCCTGTTTTTAGTTTGAATACTACACTCAAAAGCAACGCAATGCAACATTTTGCTACCAATTTCACCAAGGGCAAGGGGATCGAGCAACCATTTTACGTCATCATCCCAGAAAGCCTCGTGCACCAATCAAATTGGTGATCGCGGGACGTTCAAACTGGTCATGAAGGCCTCTTTTGAGAGGCCAAAACAAAAAATCTAAGGGGAGAGAACATTTCTCTGTCTGAAAAATCTACTTTTGGACACTAAAAGAGCATTTTAAGCGACATTTTCGAAAACAGTGGAGGATCCCTTTAACCACAGTTCAAATATATGATTTAATATATTCACAAATGTCAACTCATCACTTCGCAGGTTTATTAGAACCAACACAATGACCAGCTCCCAGTTAGCTTATTAGCTCAGTTGGTAGAGCACTGCACTGGTTTCACAGAGGTCATGGGTTTAAATCCTGTACAGGCCTGAATTTTTTTTTCAAGTCTTATTTTCACAACTGCTTAATAAGTGATCATTACTGTGAAGATAGTATCCATATTCACTCTACTCTTCTCTTTATTTCTCCTTTGGTACTGACAAGGAGAATACATTTAATAATCTAAGCTCTGTAGGTGGGCAATAATTTCTTTCATTCTTATGATCTTAATGAATGACTTAGCAGTTTCTCTGTATGGAGAGATTAGATGCTG